TACCCTACCGAGGGCTGTGAAAACGATCGGGCGGCAGCGCAGAGGCCCAACTGCTTGCATCGGACAGGTAAGTGTCTGTCTGTCAGTTTTGCACACAATCACCGTGGCTGCGGCCAATGGATTGTGTATGAAGCCCCTGCTGTCAGGTCTGTATGTTATACGGAGCTGGTGGCAAAAGTGTTAAAGAAATACAGGCTGCTGCTACAGGAAGATCCTAAGGCTGGACATACATTGTACAATTTTCCTTTAGATTTACAAAAACCATATATGAGGTCAACCTAAACATTTCCAAATTATATGCAACCAGGATTGCCCTTGCACTACATAGTTGAAGGCAGGGGCGGACTGACAACTCATGGGGCCCCCGGGCAATAGGGGATCATGTGGCCCCTGTGTCCTTGCCCAAACTCAAAAAAGCATATGAAAAAGGTACCATGGGCATCTCATGGGGCCCCCCTACTGACCCCAGGCCCTCGGGCAGTGCCCGAGTTTCCAAATGGTCAGTCCGCCCCTGGTTGAAGGGAAATTAAATAAGAAAATGGAATAATATATTGCCAGCTTAAATCTTGTACTAGCTTTTATAAGTCCATGACATTTATGAACACAGTGCAGGGTCTAGATCAGCAATGGGCAAACTACGGCCCAGCGGACCTTTTAATCCGGCCCGCGGAGCTAGGGTCCCGCTAGGCTCCTCTCACAGTCCGCCCTGAAGACCAGTGTAGCATGAAAATCTGTCTCCTATGAGGATCTGTCCCCCTCGACGTATCTGCGCATGTGCCGGAGATCGCCGATCGGCTGCTAATGCCTGAAAGTGGCACATGCGCAGATACGTCGAGGGGGACAGATCCTCATAGGAGACAGATTTTCATGCTACACCGGAACGGCGCGGGAATACGGCTAGAGGAACGCGCGGAGTAAAGGTAAGTGAATTGACACAGGGGGGACTTGGGGACTTAATATGGGGATGAATTAATATGGGGAATGAATTACTATATGGGGGATGAATTACTATGGGGGATGAATTACTATATGGGGGATGAATTACTATATGGGGGATGAATTACTATGGTTGATGAATGAATTACTATATGGGGGATGAATTACTATATGGGGGGGATGAATTACTATGTGGGGGGATGAATTACTTTATGGGGGATGAATTACTATGGGGGATGAATTACTATAGGGGGGGGATGAATTACTATATGGGGGATGAATTACTATGGGGGGATGAATTACTATGTGGGGGATGAATTACTATGTGGGGGATGAATTACTATGTGGGGGATGAATTACTATGTGGGGGATGAATTACTATGTGGGGGATGAATTACTATGTGGGGGATGAATTACTATGTGGGGGATGAATTACTATATGGGGGATGAATTACTATATGGGGGATGAATTACTATGGGGGATGAATTACTATGGGGGGGATGAATTACTATATGGGGGATGAATTACTATGGGGGACGAATTACTATGGGGGACGAATTACTATGGGGGACGAATTACTATATGGGGGATGAATTACTATATGGGGGATGAATTACTATATGGGGGATGAATTACTATATGGGGGATTAATTACTATGCTTACTATGGGGGAATATTACTATACTTACTATGGATGACACATACACATCATTCATCTACTCTTGGTCCAGGCCCCCAGGGGTCCAATATATGAACCCATTGCGGCCCTCAAGTCAAAAAGTTTGCCCACCCCTGGTCTAGATCAACCCATAATATAACCAGTTTGAAGCAAGTGTGTTTTGTACAGGACAGAGGGTGCAATACATCCATCAGCCATAACATTATTAGCACTGACATGTAAAGTGAATAACACGGATTATATTGTTACAATGTCATGTAAAAGTAGCTGGGATATGTTGGGCAGCAAGTCCATGAAGTTGATGTGTTGAAAGCAAAAAAAAAACAACAAACACAAGGGCAAGCATAAGGATACGAGTGACTTTGCCAATGGCCAAATTGTAATGGCTGGACAACTGGGTCAGAGCAACTCCAAAACTGCAGCTCTTGTGGGATGTTCCCAGTCTATAGTAGTCTGAACTGATCAAAAGTGGTCCAAGGAAGGAAAACTGGTGAACTGGAGACAGGGTCATGGCGGCCAAGACCGACTGATGCATGGGGGAATGAAGGTTGGTCCATGGAGTCCAATCCAAGAGAAAAGCTACTGTAGTTCAAATTGCTGAAAAAGTTAATGCTGGTTCTGATAGAAAAGCATCAAAACACAGTGCATCGCAATTTGCTGTGTATGGGGCTAAGGAAAATGAAAAATGACAGCGAGCGCACAGGGAGGGATACGCAGGAACAGCCGCTAGCAAAAAAGGACAACCCTCTGTATCATCAGTAACAATAGATAAGAAAAAAGTGCAACACTAGTGAAAATTACATAAAACAATGAAATAATTACAATAACTCTCTATGCCCTGGTGTTCTAATGAATGAAATAAATAAATAAATGGTGACTTGAGTGAACAAAGAGAGACAAATGTAATATAAAATAATTGAAGCGCTCTATATCGACGCTAAGGTGATATATAAAGAAGCAAAGTTAAAGAAGTATAGCGTAGCGCTGGAAGTGCAGCGCAATGGTGACAAATATCGTGACTGTAGTGAAACAGGTCAACAAATATAGCAACTCCAAACCAAATCAAAGACCAATAATCAAAAAAAAAAAAAGTCCAAAAGAAGATCGTGACATCAGCTAACAGGTGAATCTGTGACAAATTCTTCCTTTTAATGTACTCAACAGAAGCGCATATTAAATGCGCATTGAAAGTACTGGTAACAAACTCCTCCAAACAGGTCAGCCTATTTCACCGTCAGACACAGGTAGATGAAATGTGAAGCTGACATGCACCAGAACTGGGAGATGCCGCCAACAGATCCCTCAATCCTCAGCATACAATTAGCCCCACCTTGAAGGGAACAGCTCGGAGAAAGCGTTAATGGTGCAGTATTTTTATTGAAATAGTAAAAGCATCCACGTGGAGCAAAACAAATAGGTAAAACCACTTAGAAAGATGGCTGCCGGACCATCGTATGGACGCGTCAGCATGTAGGCTCCTCCCTGATGCGTTTCGTGCACAAGCACGTTATCAAAGGGATCCGCCTCTTTAGGGATCCTATGGGGCTGCATAGCTGCAGACCGGACAGGGTGCCTAAGCTGACCCGTGTCCAATGCCAAAAGCACCTATAATGGGCATGTGTGCATAAGAACTGAACCACAGAGCAAAGAAAGGAGATGGCCTGGTTTGATGAATTCAATAATGGTTTGAGGAACACAATGAGTTTGAGTTGCTGACTTGGTCTCCAAATCTCAATCCAATCAAGCATCTCTGGGATATTCTGGGGAAAAAAAACAAGAGGATCCATTAAGGCCCCACCTCGCAACATACAGGATTTAAGGGATCTACTACCGATGCTTGGTGCCAGATGCTACCTTCAGAGGTCTATTTAAGTCCATGCCTTGATGGGTTATGGTGAGTGGTCATAATGTTATGGCTGACTGGTGTATGAGTTTGTATGGTTTATTTCAATGTTCGATATTAGCCTTCATGTAGGTGGGAAAATAACAAAATACAGATTCCTTTAAAATTTTTAATACAATAAGACAGAAGAGAAAACAACACTAGCCAGTGTCCCTCCCATGCAGATGTCTGCTTCCTGGACACACCAGGATGCTTAATGACATGCATGCGATGCTCAGAACTGCAAAAGGACCGAGGCTTGAATTGTGCCTGGGAGTCTCCTTTTGTTTTATAGACGCAATCCTGGAAAATGACTGTATTAAATATTTATACACAGGATGTAGAGATTCAGTTTCTCTCTACTTCACCAAGGAGCCGCAAACTGCAGCCTGGAAAACAAAGAGAGCGTGAATGAAACCATCGTGTCACAATGCTCTCAAGAAGAAAAGCTGCTGTTGTAGAAGGCACTTGTAAAAAGGTATCCAAGTATGAAAGAATACACAAGGAAACCTGACGAGAAAGCTGCCGTATACAACAGTCCTGTCTGAATGATATTGCAGTGCAGAATCGCACTGGTGTTTGAATGGCAGATTGCACAGACAGCAATAACATTAGAATGAACCTGTCAAGCCCACTAACCACCTTCCACCCGCCACATGCAGAAATGACGGGCGCAAGGTGGTTCTCTCGTTCTGGGAGGATGTCATATGACGTCCTCCCCCTCTAACCGCACGTGCACGACCCTGGGGGCGCGTAGCGTGGCAATCTGATTGGATCACCAATCAGCGAAAAGAGCTGCTGACTTCGGCTCTGTCATGTGATCAGGTGTGTCCAATCACAGCTGATCGCATGTAAATAAGGAAATGCAGGTTATCGGCATTTCTCTCCTCACGAGCTGTCACGCTGACAGCTCGTGACGAGAGGAGAGCTGGTAATCGGCATTCCTCAGAGGGGACATGTACACTGATCATCAGGGCACTGGTGATCAGTGCCCTGATGATCAGTGTAGCCCCATCAGTGCCACCTGTCAGTGCCCATCAAAACCACATACCGTATTTTTTCGCTCCATAAGACGCACTTTTTTCCCCCCAAAAAAGGGGGGAAAATGTCAGTGCGTCTTATGGAGCGAATATAAAGCGGCCGGTCCGGTATTTTTGCGGCCACCATGTCAGAATACCGGGCCGGCCACTCAGCTTTTGTCTCCTGCAAGGCCTTACCTGTTCCTCGCTCCAGCGCTGCAGTCTTCCCGCGCTGGCTTCTGTGACAGCAGGGTGCCCACTGCGCATGTGCTGCGCTTTGTGAATGATCCGGTGTCTTCTGGGACACATGAAAGGTCCCAGAAGGTGCAGGGCCATTCACAAAGCGCAGCGCTTCTCGCACATGCGCAGTGGGCACCCGGCTGTCACAGAAGCCGGCCCGGGAAGAAGAGGGAAGGCAACTCCGCGGAAGTGGGAGCTGGTACCTGTCAAATTCAGGTACCCGCTCCCCCTCCCTCCCTAAAGGTCAGCAGTCTCTGGTCATTCCCTGCACTGTCTGCAGTCTCTGGTCATGTCCTGTACTGTGTCCGCAGTCTCTGGTCATTCCCTGTACTGTGTCCGCAGTCTCTGGTCATCCCCTGCACTGTCCGCAGTCTCTGGTCATCTCCTGTACTGTCTGCAGTCTCTGGTCATGTCCTGCACTGTCCGCAGTCTCTGGTCATTCCCTGCACTGTCCGCAGTCTCTGGTCATTCCCTGCACTGTCCGCAGTCTCTGGTCATTCCCTGCACTGTCCGCAGTCTCTGGTCATCCCCTGCACTGTCTCCGCAGTCTCTGGTCATCCCCTGCACTGTGTCCGCAGTCTCTGGTCATCCCCTGCACTGTGTCCGAAGTCTCTGGTCATCCCCTGCACTGTGTCCGCAGTCTCTGGTCATCCCCTGCACTGTCTGCAGTCTCTGGTCATCCCCTGTACTGTCTGCAGTCTCTGGTCATTCCCTGTAGTATGTCCGCAGTCTCTGGTCATCTCCTGCACTGTGTCCGCAGTCTCTGGTCATCTCCTGTACTGTGTCCGCAGTCTCTGGTCATTCCTGTACTGTCCCGCAGTCTCTGGTCATCTCCTGCACTGTGTCCGCAGTCTCTGGTCATCTCCTGCACTGTGTCCGCAGTCTCTGGTCATCTCCTGCACTGTGTCCGCAGTCTCTGGTCATCTCCTGCACTGTGTCCGCAGTCTCTGGTCATCTCCTGCACTGTGTCCGCAGTCTCTGGTCATCTCCTGTACTGTGTCCGCAGTCTCTGGTCATCCCCTGTACTGTGTCCGCAGTCTCTGGTCATCCCCTGTACTGTGTCCGCAGTCTCTGGTCATCCCCTGTACTGTGTCCGCAGTCTCTGGTCATCCCCTGTACTGTGTCCGCAGTCTCTGGTCATCCCCTGTACTGTGTCCGCAGTCTCTGGTCATCCCCTGTACTGTGTCCGCAGTCTCTGGTCATCCCCTGTACTGTGTCTGCAGTCCATTGGTTCAGAATATTTTTTTTCTTGTTTTTCACCTCTAAAACCTAGGTGCGTCTTATGGTCAGGTGTGTCTTATGGAGCGAAAAATACGGTATATCACTGCCTACCAGTACACATCAATGCCACATATCAGTGCCTATCTGAGCGGCCTATAAGTGCTGCCAATCAGTGCCGCCTATCAGTGCCCATCAAGGCCACCTGTCAGTGCCCATTAAAGCCACATATCACTGCCTACCAGTGCACATCAATGCCACATATCAGTGCCTATCTGAGCTGCCTTTCAGTGCCACCCATCAGTGCTGCCAATCAGTGTCGCCTATCAGTGCCACCTAACAGTTCCAGTCAGTTCCGCCTATCAGTGCCCATCAGTGATGTCTGTGAATGCCCACCAGTGATGCCTGTCAATGCCCATCAGTGCCCATCACTGCAGCATCATTAGCATACATCAGTGAAGGAGAAAAATTACTCATTTACAAAATTTTATAACAGAAACTAAGAAAAAAAAACTTTTTTTTTCTCAATATTTTCAGTCGTTTTTGGTTTATCAAAAAATAAAAAACCCAGTGGTGATTAAATACCACCAAAAGAAAGCTCTGTCTAAACAAAAAAAAAAAAGATAAAAATTTCATATGGGTACAGTGTTGTATGACCGCGCAATTGTCATTCAAAGTACCTACAGTGCTGAAAGCTGAAAATTGGCCTGGGCAGGAAGGGGGTGAAATTGCCTGGTAGGCAAGAGGTTAATGTGTGTAAACACACTACTGACAATGTATAGGACTACACTTGTCTTCAAATCAGTCCCTTTATGCCTGGAGACACCAGATCCTCAGCCCAGTTGAACAGCTGGGTTCAAAAGTCAAGAAATGACCCGTTCAAACGTCTGCATCCCCTTTACTTTGATGTTCTCTGACTGGATGAGGTGGACATTATGATGTCACTATCCCTCCTCCCCACCTCGTCTAATCAGAGAATACCTTGCAGTCAATGAAAAAAAAACAAATACTGTAAAAGGCATTTTATGAATGGCGGAGGTGCAGAATGAGTGACCCTCTGTGTCAATGTGCAGAAGGGAAACCACCGGAACAAAACTTAGAAGCAGCTCTCACTGTATGTAGCACGGGCTATTACAGTGGTTTGCAGCATCCCCTCCAGATATGTATAATTACATCAAGCCAAGCTGGCCCAAGTATGCTAAAAATGAAATTTCTGGAGTTCAGCTTTAAATCCTTTTCTTGAAGTCGTTTGACAGATACAGGAAATTATAACCTTTGGCTTATACTGCTGCATACAGAACTGTACATTGGCAAAAAAATACAAAACAAAAAACTGTAGGTCAGCCCAGGATAACACCCTGAAAGACATCTGCTAATGTCAGGCGGAGCCTCCCGTGACATCATTCAGCACTGATCTTACCACGTGGTTCTATTGCCACCTTGGGTGAATATTGGGATAAGCGCATTTGCTTTAACTGTTGTAAGTGCCGTTCTGTATTAAATAAATTGTTTTATGATATTTACACTATGTAGAGTTTTATGATATTTACACTATGTAGAGCATATATTTGCTCTTTTTACATGATATGGATTGCATGAAATTTTAAACTGCATACTGGCGAAGTGGCAACTGAATGGAGAGACATGGCTGAGCTCATGTTTCCTTCTCTGAATAAGGGGTCACACATTTTGCAAGCCCGCATCATATTCCCTATTCCAGGTGACAGGCAGCACTGGTGATATTGCAAGGTTTGAAATTTACTTCAGGACTCTATATTGAATTAAAAGGGGACTTTTTTTTCCCTTGCAACCATTTTATATTCATTTAAAGGGGACTCACTTTTATAATTTTTTTCACATTTTTATATTTTATGGTATACATTTTGTTAAATAAGTCACTTTATGTGCTGGTCATATGTTCATATATCACTGTGGAATGTTTAATATTTTTTATATGCACAAATTGACACAGAGAGAAAACAGGTGGCGCACACACCTAGTGCATTATCCAAGGTTTATTGTAGGAGTGAAAGAATAATAAAAACACTCACAGACGAAGCATGTATCTAAAAAGCATAGAAAAATGACAATGGCCACAATGGCAGGCAAGGTGTTCTCACTGTCAGTGCGGTCAAATGGCTGATGCATTTCGGGGATGAATCCCTTTCCGCATCAACAGCAAGGCTCTTACTTTCCACTTCATCATACATCAGCATCAGAGGTTGGTCATCAGCTCTGAGGAAAGGGATTCGTCCCCGAAACGCCAGATGAAAACCTTGAACTCTGGGATAAGTCACTGCTATGCTGTCTCAATTAATTCTGTAAACAAGGGGTGTCTTTCAGCATTTCAGCATCAGCCATTTGACCGCACTGACAGTGAGAACACCTTGCCTGCTGTTGTGGCCATTGTCATTTTTCTATGCTTTTTAGATACATGCTTCGTCTGTGAGTATGTTTTGATTATTCTTTTACTCCTACAATAAACCTTGGATAATGCACTAGGTGTGTGCGCCATCTGTTTTCTCTCTATCCAGTGGCTGATTTCCCCGTCTGAGGAGGGCTGCACCCCTGAAGCATTTCCTTTGGTTGTCGCTGTCCTGGTACCCTTGGCTTCCCTTATTGCCAGCATGCCCCTGTTTGTAGCAAAGCAGTACCAAGAGCATGAACATAAATGCAGTGGGGCAGCGCCCTTACGGAATCCATCTAGGATAGCAAAAAGTGAATCAGTCTTCCTGAAAGAGAATAGACTTTGTGTTTGTTAGAGAGGCATGTTACCCCTTCCATGTGCACCATACTGCAAAGGCTGGTTATAGGTTGAGGTGGACTACACCCTTTCCCAGGAACAAAACTCCACTAAACTGAACATATTTCAGAAAAAAACAGGTTAATGTAAAGTCTTGGAACTGCTAGCATAAGTGAAATGTTATTTTTCTCATGGCTATTGTCTAAGTGAAGCCCAGAAGATAATAGGAATGTTCAGAAAAGAGTAGGAGTAGAGTCACCAGAAGCACAGAAAAAGTAAGCAAATGGATGCTTCACACAAAATTGCAGACACTATCTGAAAGATGGGGGTCCAGCCAACACAAAAAAGGCTGAACCAAATAAAGATGCCCTAGAATAACAGGGGAACAGATAAAGGAGCTTCATAGGTGATCCCCTATACAAAGGTCTTAAGGAATGAGATGTCTACAGCCTCAAACAGAAAAGGCAAAAACTTAATAATGCGGGGAACAAAACTGGTCCACACCTAGAATATCATCAACTGCCCAATTTTGATCCTGCAAAGCAGACTAGGAAAAGTTTCAGGGGAAGACAGGTGAAGGTCAGAATGTAATGATTCAATGGAGCCACCACTGCATTCAACGCTATTGCTAGAGGTTCCATGGTCTCAAACCTGTCCAGTTTGTTGTCAAAGCTGAAGGCCAGTTAGTCCAAAATCCAACATCACAAAAGTGGTAGACAGGTTCTGAACTCCACCAAGTGTAAGATCCACTTGTCCGGGTCCAGGCATTGCCGGCTGAGCAAGTCTACTTCCCAATAGTGTATTCCTGGAATGTACAAGACTGACAAGCCTGGAATGTGAAGTTCTGCCCAGGAGAGGATCCGATTTACTTCTCTTGCTGTAGACAGCAGAGGTGTTGAATTGAATCTTGAGCCCCATCAGCATTTCTGTAGCCCTCAAAGAGCCAGTTTTATCTGTAAGACTAGATATCCAGAGCACCCCACTTACATCAGTTTTAAAGAGCACCCCCACCTTCCAGCAGAAGTCAAGCTGCTGCTGCTGCTGCTGGGAAGAAGCTGGAAAGTAGAAACTGCAGGGTCTGGAAAAGGACCAGAGGAGTGCTAGAGTCAGCTGCCAGAGTCTTCTGAATGCTGAGATTAGGGGAAGACTAGGGGGTGCCGCAATGGCACAGAGAGGCACAGGATACGTGGAAGGAGTTCTGTGCTCTCTACTTCCGAATGCGGAGATGAGGGCAGGGGGCAGAGATGAGACTCTACATGGCTGCATGAAGAAGATCTGCTGCCGAGTGCAGAGACAAGGTGGGAGCAGAGATGCGGAGGGTGCTGGTGCTGCAGCTGCAGGAGAGGTGCAAGGGCTACATGAAATGGCCTGGTGGGCCTTGTGTTTGACACAGGTGCTGTAGAGAGACTTCAGATTCCTCCTGTACGATTGCAATTTGCTGAGAAAAATACAAACCCGGAACTCATGGCCAATCAGAAGAAATGAAAGATTTATCTATTGGGGGAGGCAAGGTGCCCAAAGGTTGATGCCAGGATGAAAATTAGATCCATTCAAACAGGGTCTGTGTTCTCTGTGCATTGGCCGAAAAGCACAATTTCTATGTCAGACTGGAATGTACCTTTAAATTAAAAGTCAATACAGTAAACAGCTGGCTGCTTCAAAACCTTCCCCGGTTATATTTCACTACGGCATTAAATTAAATGAGTGAGTACCACACAAATGCTGTTTGAAAATAAATAAGACGTATTATGCCCATTCAGGGGAAAAAAAAGCCACAGGATAGATCTATTATGCCTACATAAAGGTGTCGAAGAAAGCTGTACTGACCCAATCAAGCTTAGTTATCTATAATTTGCTGCACCAACATCCCGCAGCCATCAGTCTGCACTGCGGGGAAGGTGGTTCAGAAGAGGAAATGCTTTATAAACTATTACTAACTCAGCAGCTAATTTAGCAAAAGAAAGCATTTCTGGAGTGTGGCGTGTAAACAACTCGGAACATTTGTAACAGGTACTCGCTTGGGGATCTGCTCTGTGCTGCAGGGACACGCTGCAAAATCCAGCCTGCATACAGACACAGAGGTCAGATTTGATTTAAAACGATTTAACTAATTTGTGCTAGGACAGATTTCCATTCAAATGCTAACATAAGGGGGAACAATTAGAGCTGGGCTTACACAAAAACATTAATATTCAGACTTGCATATATATTTATCAATTATGTAGCCTTGCTCACCGTAGTGCCATT